GAGGTCAAGGGAGGATGTTGATCAGCCTCTGGGTACTCGGTCCGGTAGGGGAGACCAGTGGTACCAAATCTCTGGTCCTAGAGTTGCCGCAGGCGCACAGGTGTGGAATTGTTTTGCGTCTGAGCAGATTCTTAATTAATCTCGTAGCGTCAGCTTGTGCTGCAGATGGCGTTTCTGTTGAAGCAATTCTATCGGCGTGACAGAAAAGCTTTAGTAGAGGTTTCAAGTGGCCGACCCGATCCTCTGGACTCTCGTTGCCTCAGAGAGAATTTGGTGAGCCCAAGAGCTGAACTTGAACTGAGGAGTTTGGTTTTAAGAGACGGCCGGTAATCTTATTCTAACAAATTAGATTTTTGACATGTTAGAGGGTGGGACTTAACATACCTCAGAACATGCCCTCCCAAGATAGAAAGCTCTGGTGTTATGGAACAAAGACATGCGAGTGCAGTTACCTTTAACCTGATTTCTGTGTCCTGCATGATTGTGTATAAGTGCAGATGATCTTCTTGTCACTGTTAAGCATTACTGGTTATCATAAATTAATAATAATTATTCACCAAAGAATAATAATTAATTTCAGTAATTAAATACATTTATAATGAACCTTGATGATTATTTGTGAACATTGTAATAGACAGTGAAAAGAGTTGATTAAAAATGATTATTTTAAATCTTGAAGTGTCCTTCGTCTTGCGGATGGAACAGCAGTCAGAGAAAGGCAGTCAGATTAAAGATGGTTTACAGCAGACTTTGTGTCTCCTGTGATGGATAATCTGTAGATGGAAGTGCAGCCAGGACAGCTTGACCCAGCTGAGGAAGTGTGACCTTTGGGTCACAAATGAGGCCATTCATGTCGCTACAATGAGCTGTTAATATGATAAACTCTTACTGTTCATGTGGTCCTCCCACTCTCACTGAACCAGGTGGACTTCTTAGGGACATTCATCCAGACAGGCTAATGCTGTTACTGGAACAATGTGGGGAAGCCTGTTCTGGGGAGGGTCTTCAGAATACTCAGTCATGTTGCCGACTTGTCTAAGAACCTTATTCCACGTTCCAGCAGTTGATTAATTGACGTACTTGAGCTCATGCTACTTTTCCAGTCCTGGCGCACTGAGCTGGTACTTCATTAGCATTTAGTGCATCTCAGATACAGCTTTTAGATCAGAAACACATTAAAAAGGGTTTGTTTTAATCGTATTGTGTTTTTTTGTTTAGGAAGTGATGTTATCATTAACTTGCTCTGGTGATAATCCAACACGCTCTCACACACCCCATCTGCAGAGATGCTTTCTTCTAAAGAGGAGCCTGAGACACGCAGGCCCACTCCTAATCTCTGCAACAATCTCTGCAATCTCTCGGTGTGATTTGGGACCTTGTTACTGCAAACACTCTGGTAACGGGTCCTAGTTCAGTGACAGCCCGTGTCCTTATTTGTGCATAAGAGATGCTCTCATTAATTCAACTTTAAATCCTGACCTAAAGACTATGAAGGATAGCTCATGAGAGAAAAGTCTAAATCGGGGGATGAATAATAATAAAAATAAAAAATAGAATCTCCAGACTTTGTATTCTCTAGTGCTGCTGATGTATCTCATGTGTTTCGACACATCTCATCCTTGTGAAACTTTAGCCTCACAAACCTAGAATAATAAAGAGTAAATAGTGGTTTTGAAGGAGTTGAGGGGTGAAAATGAAAGATCTCTTTACTTTTTCTCACCATTGCTGCTCTGACGCTCCCCTTCTACTTCCCCGTTTTTACCCTATTTGGCCGTTCAGCCCAGCTGTTTGCTCCTGACTCAGTTCTGGTCCTTACAGGTCCAGGAGTTTTGCGGTGGAACTTCTTTAATGTTTTAGCTCCACTTTAGAATTCCTCCAGCTTTTAACAGACAAGAGAGTGAGTCAGAGTTAGATGGAGAGCGTGTGTTAGATAAATACACACCGTTAACCTACCTCAGCACAGAGCCCCTCTGCTGTCCGGCTCACACACTCCTGATTAATGAGGCTGCTTCAGGAGTCCAGACTGCAGCCGATCCCCTAGCCCACTTTACTTTAACCCCCACCTTTCTGCCCCGGCTTATTCTTTTGCCTTTACCTTCACACCCTTTACCCCACATTTGATCCTTTAAGGAAACCATCATCACAGGTATAGTTTAAGCTCTTGTTTTAGCTCCCAGACCAGCACAGTGTAGTCCACCTACCTGTTTGCACACCAGTATGGGTGGCTGATTGATGATGCTATAAAAGCTCAGCAATTACCTCTGTGAATTGTGAGACAGAGTGTCCTGGCAGATGCCCCCAGGCCTCTGCTGTGTGCTACGACCTGATTTCTTTATATTTAGTCTGGTTCAGCATCATGCTGCCGCCACAGCCTCTGAGATGCTTTCATCCACCAAACGCCTCACGCTCATTTCATTTGATTTATAGGATTCTAGGGCTGCACGATATTAGGAAAACCTGCGATATTCGATAACAGTGCTTAATATTGCGATATCGATATTACTTCCGATAAATGAACAAATACTAAAGTATGCAGTGTTGATGTCGTCTGGCGTCTGACGTCTGCTCTGGGTTCAAAGCAAACAAAAACTAATGCATGAATTCCATTACAACATAACATTTTTATTGCAACATTATGCAGCTGCACCTGCTACTGTATTAGCAGCAAAACAACAAACTGCATGCATGCAGTTTCTCAGTGACTTTAAAACATCACCTCCACCATCAAACTTGTTCTGATGCTCCAAATACAGAAAAACATCCCTTACCAGGGTTTTTTGAATAAATAAATAAAAATCTGAAAATAAGTTTAAATGTTAAATAATAGTTAACATCACTTACATGTAACAGCAAATTCTCTCTCATTGCTACTGAACATTTTCTCCACTTATGTGGTTATGATATAAGGCTGTTGCTGCAGTTGGGAAGTCATCTGTGCTGGGCCAAACTAGGAGAATATTAAGATTTTCTGAGGGAAAGAGAAAAACAATTGTCTATCTTTCAGAAGAGGAACTGGCAAAAAAAAAACTACATGGAAAATATGTGAAAACGTTTGGTTTTAACCCCAAATTTAACAAGTTTACCTAGATCTTAAAAGCAGCTCAGATGATGAAACTGCAACTATGATTCTGATAACAAGCTAACAAATTGAACTAGCTCCTCTTAAGATAACCGGCTAGCAGAGCTTCTGACTGACAGTTTATGTGCAGCAGCAAATCAACTATCCTGATGAACAAGGTTATAAAAGCTCATAAATGAAAAATAACTTTGATGTGTGGGGGAACTTTTCCAGGCCCTCTTTAGCAGGGTGGGACTGGGAGGAGAGTGCTGTAGCCTTTTAGCTGGAAGCTAACCGGAGCCTGGGGCTAACATCACCACCCGGTGGAACACTAGCGACATGAAGATGGGTTGGTTCACCGGCACGTGTCGAGTCAGCCCGGTTGTTATCAGCTGCTTAACGACACCGAGCGGACTCATGTTCACGTTTGAAAGCAGCGCTGATTCCAGAAACCTCAGCACAAAGTGCGTTCGTTGCTCTGAGCCAGAATGACGAACAAGGGAAGCGAGCGGCAGCAGAAAGTGGGGGCGGAGCGGAGATAGTGGAATTTTGGGGTAAAGGGGGCGGGCGTATTACGTGAACGGACCCATCTGATTGGCCGCATATCAGAAGGGCTACATTTGATTGGTCAAATAATACTTACGTGTAAAAAAACAGAGCTGGTTTATAAAAAGTTGATGTATGACACGGATGGAAATGTTTGAACCAAACATTTATCGCTGTTTTTGACGTGCTTTGCGATGGGTCTATCGCACGTCCTGCTATCCCGATGACGATAATTTTTCGATATATTGTGCAGCCCTATAGGATTCCATTCAGCGGTTGGGTTTCATTTTACCTGCATGTTTGCGGTGAGTAGGGGTGTGAACTGGCAACAATCTGTTAGCACCATATTGATCATAAATACATCAGTACAACAGAAGTTGTATGATATACGTGATACTAAAATCCAGGCGACGTTTACAGTATTACGGCGAGATCTCATTTTTCTGCCAGAAGGAAGGTGGGGAAAACTGCTACCAGCTGTTGGAGTTTGAATTGCACCATTCATAAAACGTACAGTAAATAGTTGCACGTAAATTCTCAATAAAAATATCGATTCAGTATCACAACTCAAAATGTGAAGGTATTTCAGCATATGGATATTGTCTTACATCCCTAGTGGTGAGGGTCCGAGCGTGAGCAACGGCGAGGCTGAACAAGGACAGCTAGATTGTCTTAGCGATGCCGACAGAAGACACAGACGGTTCATTGGTGGAGCGAGCTCCCCATCTGCCCTCCAGATTCAGCATTTTTCCAGACAGCAAGAGCACCTCTCCTGTGGTTAATGGAGCCTGAACAAAGCAGAGAAAATAGAACACCTCATTCTGCACCATGTGTAGGTTCAAGTGTAGGTCAATGGTAAGAGGGAGCGCTGCCAATATCACTGAATTATTCAGAATGATTATGAAAGACAGCCGAGGCTGTTATTTACTCGACAACATGTCAGGAATTCTTATTGATTAGTTATTAGTCCTGGTGCTAAATCTCTCTCCATGGCTCTAGACCAGCTCTCATTAGGTTTCTAATGTATGTCAGCGACTCATATTTCATTGTGAAGGACTGCACGGCGCAGTTCGTTTGTCAGGATTCAAACACAGTTCACTTCCTGTTCAGGTTTGATGGCGTCTGAAGCAACAGGAACCTTGGTGTGTTTGAAGACCTAATGTGCACCTCCACTTGTGTTTTTCTGTTATGTCGCCAAGAGAACTCTTTAAAGAGTTATTACCAGTTGAATCGTGTTTTAATGTATCATTCGTTTGCATGTTTCTGTAGTTTTTGTTCTGGCGAAGCTGCGAGGTGTGAAGCCAGACAAAAATAACCTCTTTAATGGAACCGTGGGGTTCCTGCAGCCATCTGCTCTCTAACCTCTACCCATACTTCTGCTTCTCTCTCCATGCAGACATGTCGTGGCTCAACTGGTGTTTGACCGGCTCCTGTGTTTTCAGCCTTGTCCTCGTTCTCTTCTTCAAGGAGTCCTACGACCGTCTCTACCTGGATGTGTTTGTCTCTGTGTGACTAAGAGTGAAGTCTACTCTTTAGAAAGCCTGGCCTTGCACAAAAAGGAGGAAAAAAGGGAGATGAGGGGCAAGTGGGAAGCTCTTTGTGAGGTGTAATATTTTATGACGTAAATGTGTACATACTGGTAACCATAGTGATGATAATTTATAGTTGAGCCACAGAGAAGGACTGGGAACAGTTCTTCATGCTTGTTTACTCTTCATATGTGGTCATACTAAGGCTCTATGGTGGTTTATTTTTATTTTATGATTCGTTTGCGTGTAAACAAACATTTGTGCACAATTCATTATTGTCAAACAAGCCCGGCTGGACAGACTGTCTCTGTTTACAGATGATGCAATGTTTAAAGTCGCTCTAGAAGCTGCTTGCTTCCACTTGCCTCGTGTCTCAGGAGAGTGGACACAGACTCTGAGCTCACAGACGGGATGTCACGGCGACTCTGGATCAACATCAAGTGTCTGCCCCTAATAAGGAGGTAAACGGTGATAATGGGACGGTTTCTGCAGAGAGGACGGGCCTCGTCGGGTTTTAGTGCTGCTGCAGACGGCTGGTTGTGACTGACCTGACACCGTTAAAGCACCACGTGTCGCAGAGAGGCAGATACTTGGATTATGTTTTATCGCCCTCTCAAAAGGAAAATTATGCAAAGATTTCCCACCAGATTGATGACTGGGTACCAGCCAAAGACGTGGACTGTGACCGCACGCACCTTCGCTTTTCACTCGCAAGACTTTTCTTCAGTTTTCCAGCTCATTTGTAACCAATTATCTCCATTTCTGGGAGATTTACTCCTTAATCTGGTGTTAATTTGTTTTGTACAGTCTTAAAACAGCCTGCCAGTATCTGTATAATAATGCCTCAACACTAATTGTTAGCAGCCAAATCCGGATGTTTTGTGACCGTTTTAACCACAGCTGATGTCCACTGGGATGAACAAGATACTGTCTGCTAGCATAGGATTACACCCCTTACCCCCAACACCAGCAGGGTTCCTACCGTCTACAGACTGGGCAGCTGGTTTGATGTAAAAGTCATTATTTACCATCACACCTGTTCTGTTTGGGAGAATAGTTTATGTCCCGTGGGACTGATGAGCTAAAGGCTAGTTTGAGCACATCCAAGATTTGAGAGATTCTAATCTCACAGATTTGACAACTTCAAACATAAAAGCTCTTTCTCCAAGCTGAGGCTCTTTAGAAAGCTCGTTACAGTCTGTACTATATGACTTTTACGAATGAACACCTGAATGAGTGAAATAAACATGAAGTTGTAGTTTACTTGGATTATCTGGCTGGTGAAGCTGCAGCTGGAACAAAATACTGTTTAAATGTGTCAAAAACAATTTCACTGTAAATGCAAACTCATTCTTTTACCGTTTTTCTCGTTTTTGTATGTTTTTGTTTTGCACAAAGGCAACGAGAAGTATTTTTCTGTTTTTCCTGCAGATAAAAGAAGCTGTGTAACTTGTTCCAGGTGCTCGTTTTCTGTTTTATTTTCTCGTATAGTAAAGTTAGTCTTATTTTTTTGAACGTGTTGCCTTAATGACCCAGTGCAGTGCATTGAGCCCCCTCTTCTCCACACTGTGAATATTTTATGTGCAGACTTTGTAAGAGGCCATACTTCCTGTTCTGTGTCCTCTGAGGAACAAACCGTGCTGTCACTGATTTCCAGCACCTTATTAAAGTTACAGTTTTACAAATTAAAAGCGTCTTTTCCTTCTCATGAGTTAATTAGGGTTATTTAGCATTATCTTGCTGCCTTTGTGCTGAATGTGATCATGCTTTTCTGTTTTTGTCTCAGTGTTGCTGTTTCATTTACATCCATGTGATGGACGGGAAATATAGTTCACTACTCGGCCTCCATTATCACTGGCTGCAGCATTATTTGGTCCATCGTTTGCCCTCTGTAGAGCTGTAGTTGGATGTTTTTTTTTCAATGCTTCACTTAATTATGAATCCCTTTTCGAGGTGCATCTTCAAAGAGCTTTTTCTCTCTTATTATGGTATTCAATATGAATTCTCTTTTGTTGCCTTTTCCCGACTGTGTGCAGCTAGAATTGAAATATCTCAACATGATGTCTGCTCTTTATTAATTTTTCAAGATGGAAATACGTGTTATTTATTTATTTATTTGGTTTTGCACACGCGTCCTGACTGTAGTTAAATCAACCAATCGATTTCAGCTAATGGGTCACTTGGGTGCAATTACTCATACGCACCCCTCTATGCTGAGGTCTGCAGAAGCTTGCAGAGCCTAATTCCAATTTAATATACCATGTTATTGCTTTTCCATAAAGCTACTGGACATTTTAAAATCAACGCAACAGAGCAGTAACGCGCTCACGTTCTGTCTTGAGCGTGATTCAAGCTTTTCATCAGAAACCGCAAAGCTGGAAAATGCCTTTTTTTAATTTCAACACCTACTTTCTGTTTTCCATCAGAAGTCTGATAACATCAGCGTTGTTTTCTCGAGCTTGACGGCGCTCGCTGCTCTCAGTAAATATAATGATCAGCAATCTGATCTCATTGAGGGGACCAGCTTAATCAACCATTTCTTAACCAGTCTTGATTATAGTTCAGGTAAAACTGGTAAATATTTTTAATGACACTTTTTTTTGTATAACTTGAAGCGCTCTTCACATACTGACAGCAAGCTTGAAATTAATGGTTAAAAGGATGAATGAAAACTTTTAATAGCCTCTGAAACGTCCAAACCCTGAAGAACCTCATTTAAACCAACGTCTCATTCTTGATTGGATGCTGATCCATCCATCAAACTGCCCCTCTGCATATACCCCTCTATGTGCACAAATCTTGGAGCAGCTAAACAGGAAGTAAAGCTAGAGCCGGGCTGCTTAGTGACGTATGTTCAGTTTTCTTTTAAAAATTATTTTAAAGTACAAGTCACCCCCTACCAGAGTCTTACTCCACCCACACTTCCTGTTGGAAAAGTGCACCAAAAGGAGATGTTTGCTTAGTGGACCAAAAAGGCGGCATTGCTGCAGTGATTGCCCAGCAACCCCAACACTCCAATCCACCCCCACCCCACTCTAAGATTCTCCTCCAAGCCTCTAACAAACACACCCACCTCACTCAGGCACATAAGCGGCTGTCTGCTTCCCAGTCTGGAGGATGTCTCTCTACCTCCTTCACCAGATGACAGAGATGGAAGGGAGAAAGGTTCTTTGGAGGAGGTGAGGGGCTTTGAGTCATATCTTTTCTTATTGGCTTGTGAGTAAGAAGCACTAAAATGCAGAAATAATGACAACAAATGTCTATAGACTGTTAGACAGTTTATCATCACACAGAGTTGATTTGTACCTGACCTGCTCTTTAAAGATTCATTTTACACTTTCTGTTTAGAGTCTGATTCTGTTCTTATTGGGAAACATTTAGGTGACGGACCTGTTGTCTGTAAATGCAGCCTGTCTTTTGTCGGCCGGCAGAGCTGTCTGTCAGTTTACCTGGCCCCTCACCTTTAGAGAGAGGAGAGAGAATCTGAGGGGGTTTGTGTCGGGCTGTGGAGGTTGTACCTTTTGTTCATAGGGTTTTACCAGATTGTTGGTGGTGATTTTTAGGTGAGGAATCAATGAAGAAACCTAAAAACTGTCTTGATTTTCACAATAAAAACTCAAAACTATGATAGCTAGCATACTAAGTTGTTATAGTGTTATGTAGGTGTGCTACAAATGAGAATTACGGCTGAAAGGGTGCCAACACTAGATCGAAAACATAAAACGGAATCCTCAAGAACAAGCAATGTGTTCATATTCTGGAGGGGTGGCTTAGGGGGAATCCTGGAGAAACGGGGTTGGACCATGTACAGTCTATGGTTTGGACATTTGGATTGTGTATCAAATAGTAGCTTACTTGAACAGCAAGCAAAGCATCTCCTATTCAACCTTTAATTTTAGCCTGTATATATAAAGCACCCTCTGTGGTTCTACAGCCCCCCAAGGCACTTTACAACTAACCAGTCATTCACTCACGCACACACTGATTCATTAGCTGGAATTCCACATTAGAATCTGAAGGTTGCAGGCACGATCCCTACTTTGACCAGAGAATGCTGCTGTCGTGTCCTTGGGCAAGACACTTAACCCACCTTGCCTGCTGGTGGTGGTTGGAGGGACCGGTGGAGCCTGTGTTTGGCAGGCCTCGCCTCAATACACCTCAGGGCAGCTGTGGAGACATCGTAGCTCATCACCACCGATGTGTGAATGGCTGATTGTGTTGTGAAGCGCCTTGGGGGGGTTGTAGAACCCTAAGAAGTAACTATACCAATACAAACCATTTACCAAGTTGCACAGGAGCAAACCTTATTTTTAATATTTGACCAAAACCAGTTTAAAGTTCCAGTATAAACGTCAGCAGGTGACTGGTATTCCATAATTATAACTCTTGTCATTTTAGATGAATAAAATGAGACACATAAAATGTTTTAACTGTAACATGAAATAATTATGTTGTATCAAGATGTGGGAAATATTTTTCCCCTCCTTTTTTTCCGTTGGATCACAGATTTTCACATCCCGTCAGACTCTTCTGACACCTGGTTTTATTAGTTTGGTATCATGTCGTCCTGAGGCAGGAGAACACTCTAAGGTCACTGGCGTGCAAGCATGTTTTCTGGTTTCCTTTGCTCTTCAGACCCGTCACCAGGAACATGCCCACCTGACCCTCAGGCATGACATCAGCCTTTTAAAAGCCTCTGTGACGTGTTTGAGCGTAGTCGTCTTCCCCTGGCGGCCCAGCTGGGGATGAGCTCATACTCTGCTGCTGGTGGGAACAAAGGTCTCTGGGGCGGTTCTGCACGCAACCATTCCATACTGGTTCTGTGTGAAAGAAAACAGCGTTGTTGCACGTTTCAGATTTTCAATTCCATTATCTGATGCAATAATGCAGTTTTCAAAAATGTTCGTTTATTAATGAGCAAAGATATCCAAACTGACCTGACATGTGGAAAAAGTGCTTTGTTTTAGACTTTTTGAGTTTATTGACAATACAATGAGATTCCAAGTTTTTTCTCCTCAGACTTTATTCCTCGGTGGGCTCCAACACCCGAATCTCTTCATCATAAAACAATAAAAACACATTTTCAGCTAAGTTAACAACATAAACCTGCCAAAGACATAAACAACCACAGTATGAACTGATTCCATTTGTTTGTGGTGTCCAGTTCCAAGAAGAGCTCCCAGTGAAAGATTGTTGAGTTGATTCCAGTCAGCGAACGCCAGATTCTCAGAACTGTACATGTTCCAGTAGGGATTGGTGTATCAGCATTGGTCCTGACCCTGGGGGGTTTCATTTCATAAAACAAATACAAGGATTCTGGAATGTAACCCTGTCCTTCAGCAATCTGTCAATCTAATAATCTGTTTAGTCCATCCTGATCTCTTCCATTAACTAACACACTTAAATTAGATTTGTTGATAGATTAATGGCTGGAACTGTGAGAATTGTGAGGGTTTAAATGAAAAGTCTGAATGTAAAGATGTCTTCATTTGTTTACATTAGGGCTGCACGATATTAGGAAAACCTGCGATAACAGTGATTAATATTGCGATGACGATATTACTTGCGATAAATATAAACGTAATTCAGGAACAAAAATAATCAAAAGCAAAAAAATAAAAAAGTGACAAAAAATCATAAAAATGAGAAAAGCTAAAGATGTGAGGAAAGGGAAAAAGAAAAAGAACAAGAAAAGGCAATCAGTGGATCCCGGGAAAAGCAGAATCAGCAGAAAGAGCAGAACAAAGCTAACTCAGGTGTTTGCTAGCCCTCAAAATTAAGTGTCGGGGGTGGGACTCTGACCTAGGAGAACCCTCCCAATTAGCCAAATGGGTGAAGAGCTCTATTTGATTTGTTAAAAAACATCAGGCTTCCGTTTGATTGGCAGAATGCATCATGTGTAGCAAACATTTGAGCTGACCATTACGATATTTATCCGCTCTTTGCGATATGCATATTGTGCCTGCTGATATTGCAATAACGTTATATTTGCGATATATTGTGCAGCACTAGTTTACATTTAACCCTCTTAGGCGCAAAAGAAGTTTTGATAAAAGGACGAACAGCTAAGTCCTTCAGGGGTACTTCTGAGTTAAAAAATGCTCATGAAATACGTGTGTGGAGTAACCAGGTAGGAAGGTTTTAACTGTTGCAAATCTGCAACGCCTGTCTCCAGAGGGTTAACATCTACCTCGGTCAAACATCAAAGGCCTGTTAGATTCTTACGTCATCGTTCAGCTCACTTTCACTACAGGTCATGAAACTGTGGCTCTTTTAAGGCAACGAAGCACACAAAGTATGACATAAGTCATCTTCTAACTACACACTTTAGAGTTTTTCTGCCCTGTAGCCCGTAAGTGTTACTAAACCACCGTCAATGACACGTTTTCTTTGCTTCTTTACTTTTGTCGTTTCGGACATGGCTGCTTCCGTTTCTGTTGAGAACGTTTTCTTTATTTAGTGATTTAAATTCTCCTTTGTTCGAACCACCCTGTCTCCTTGGGCCTCCCCTGAGCTCCACGTGTCCCTTAATTGACTGCTCCCCGATTATGAAAAATGAGTTATGCTTTCAAATGGCTCATTTAGCAGAGCTGCTATCACAGCGCCTGTTACTTTATCTTCGACATATTAGGAAGGGGCTTGGTGTGCTTGATGAGGAGCGATGGGCAGCAGAAGGCCCAAGCTACTTCCA